CCAAACAACCCCCCCCCCCCCCCCAAAAGTTCCTTCTAGACGTTCTTCTCTGCTGTTACCTTCTTCTCCTACCTCGCATTCTGCTTTTTATTCTTTTTTTTTTTCTTCCCTTTCCCAATCTCGCCATGCCCAGATACCAATATGCTTTGAATTCAATCCGCTTTGCTCCGAATCTCTGTCCCTTTCCTGTTGTTTCTCCATCACTACTGCCAGATTCCGAGCGTCTTTTCTGATTTTGCTTCTTTCATACTGCGAACTGTTGTTGCATTATTCATTTCTATTCAGAATCTCTACCTCTAGCCTTGTAGCGGTACACGTTTAGCCGTTGCGGCTGATGCTTGTGGTTTTTTGGTTGTGTGTGTGAAGTTGTTGGAAGGAAGGATAGTTTTGGTTTGTGGATAAATGAAGGGGGCTCCGAAGCATGAGCGGCGGTGGGCTTCGGATACGGTTCCTGGAAATGCGAAGATGAGCGCAGGATCGTCTCCGGGAACGGAGTCTAGTGCGGCGGAGGAGTTTGTTGAGGTGACTCTTGATCTACAGGACGATGATAGAATCATCCTGCGGAGAGTTGAGCCGGCTACCGTTGTCAATATCGATAGCGCCGTCTCTGTTGGATCTGAAACTCCCAAGTCTTCTTCGCTGTCGAGATCGCCGACGTTTAAACGGAGCTCGTCGAATTTGTTGCGTCAATTTTCCCAGGAATTGAAGGCGGAAGCGGTCGCTAAAGCAAGACAGTTCTCACAGGAGTTGAAAGCCGAGTTGAAGCGATTTTCCTGGAGCCATGGACATTCCTCCAGTGCTGGAAACGGATTCGACTCGGCGTTGGCCGCTCGAGCTCTGAGGAGGCGACAGGCTCAGCTTGATCGCACTCGTTCCGGCGCTCATAAAGCGCTTCGCGGCCTGAGATTCATTAGCAGTAAAACCAATGGTGTCGATGCCTGGAACGAAATCCAGAACAACTTCGATAAGCTCGCCAAGGATGGATCCCTCTACCGCTCCGATTTCGCACAATGCATAGGTTTGTTCGTTACCTAATCTGGAACTTTTTCTCTTCAAAATTTTCTTCGCTCTGTAAAATCTTAGTTCATCAAATTCTTAAATTCCTTTTCGTTTACTAGGAATGAAAGATTCAAAAGAATTCGCTCTTGAACTGTTCGATGCTTTGAGTCGGAGACGAAGATTGAAGGTTGAAAAAATCAGCAGAGACGAACTGTTCGAGTTCTGGTCACAAATCACCGATCAAAGCTTCGATTCGCGCCTCCAGATCTTCTTCGACATGTAAATGATTATTATCCATCTCTTTACTTCAACTTTAAGTTAATTAAAAAAAGCAAGAACACAAAACGACACCGTCTCATCACCAAGAAATGAAACCGACTGCTGTCTTTTCAGAGGAGCCAGTTTTTCAATTTTCGTATTTTACCACCGTCAATTTTTTTTTACAGGGTCGATAAAAACGAAGACGGCCGAATTACCGAAGAAGAAGTGAAAGAGGTGAGTTCAATTATTATTTAACTCCGTTGATATTTATATTACATTTAAATATTATTTTTATGGATTTTATTCTATTTTTCAAATATTCAGCTGTAAAAGAAGCTGTATAAACCTTGCTATTTTTTAATTTTGAAATTATATTCCTCTTTTTTTAATGAGAATTTTATTATTCTTTTTACTTGCTTTATATGTTTGAATAAAAAGATATAAAGATTAAGAGATAAAAAACTTAGAGATAATAAGCTTAAAACTTAGTTTGCCAAAATAAGGTTTAAGACTATGATTTGATTTAGTGGAGCGGAAAAGGCTTTTGTCTCCATTTTTGTCATCTACTGTATATATTAAAAAATCGCATGGAATTAGCATTATGAACATGATGGGATTAAATTAAAATATTAATAACCTAATCTATTCAGACTAATTAGTCTACTCCACATCAAGATTCCCATCATGATAATGATTCCAATTCCCCTTTTTAAAAAGCAGATGNCTGACTTTTTTTTTTTTTTTTTTTTTTTTTTTTTTTTTTTTTTTTTTTTTTTTCAGAAGGAAAACAAAAATGGCCTTCATATACATATATATATATATATTTTTTTTTTTGCATTACCTTAATTCATTTGGTTTGGCCAGCAATCATTTTCGTTATAATAATATCAACGGTAGGAAGGATTTGGTAATCTCAAGCCTGAAATTTCCTAAATTAACCACTCCAAATTGCAATATTATAATGAATTATTGTTCTTGTTGAATTCATATTTCTACTCCTACGTTTCCTGCTCTCAAGTCCCAAGCATCATGATTTCATACGTTTTTGTTCAGCTATTTATAGTCCGGATCTATTATCTATTTTAATTTGCAAATTAACCCTCTTGCAGATTTAAGAAATAATTATGAAAATGTTAAATGTAAAGTTATTTAAAAATGGTTGTCCTAACCAGAACTTCCAATTTTTTAAGTAGGGTTGGTGGGGACTTTTTGGTTACAATATGCCAAAGGTTTGCAAAATTATATCATAATTATGTTAATTTACTTGTTTTAGATTATTATGTTGAGTGCTTCTGCAAACAAGCTATCGAGGTTAAAGGAACAGGCAGAGGAATATGCGGCCCTCATCATGGAGGAGTTGGACCCTGAAAGGCTTGGCTATATTGAGGTTAGTTCTCTTCTCCTACATTTTTTTTAATGGAGCTACCTTTCATTATTGTTTTTCCACTATTTTTAAATTTTATAAATTTATTAGTTTTCCAATATTGTGTCCAATTGTTTCATAATTATAAAATCCAGCTCAATGACTTGTTAAACAGAAAAAAAAAAAAAAAGAAAAATCTCTAGCCAATTTTTGAAGTTCGAACATTTGTTAGTCACAAATTTGAAAATTTAGGAACTTGTTAAACATTTTTTTGAACTTTATGAACCTATTTTATAAAAAGTTCAAAGATTTTTGAACTTCTTATTTAACATATATTATATTATTGAAGTTTCTTCCGAAAATTTCATAAATAAATAAAAATTGAACTCCTACGCGTTTGTAATATCTTTAATCATTGTATTTAGACAGGTCTTTGTTCTTTGTTTTTTTTTTTTTTTTTTTTTTTTTTTTTTTTTTTTTTTTTTTTTTTTTTTT